ATCATTTTCATGCTTCTATACTCAAGCCAGAGTGTATGCTTCTATACTCAAGCCAGAGTGTATGCTTCTATACTCAAGCCAGAGTGTATGCTTCTATACTCAAGCCAGAGTCGCTAACCATTCATGGTCGGCTAAAACATATTTTCCTTTCATCGATCTCCTCATAAATCATTTTCATGCTTCTATACTCAAGCCAGAGTGTATGCTTCTATACTCAAGCCAGAGTCGCTAACCATTCATGGTCGGCTAAAACATATTTTCCTTTCATCGATCTCCTCATAAATCATTTTCATGCTTCTATACTCAAGCCAGAGTGTATGCTTCTATACTCAAGCCAGAGTGTATGCTTCTATACTCAAGCCAGAGTCGCTAACCATTCATGGTCGGCTAAAACATATTTTCCTTTCATCGATCTCCTCATAAATCATTTTCATGCTTCTATACTCAAGCCAGAGTGTATGCTTCTATACTCAAGCCAGAGTCGCTAACCATTCATGGTCGGCTAAAACATATTTTCCTTTCATCGATCTCCTCATAAATCATTTTCATGCTTCTATACTCAAGCCAGAGTGTATGCTTCTATACTCAAGCCAGAGTGTATGCTTCTATACTCAAGCCAGAGTGTATGCTTCTATACTCAAGCCAGAGTCGCTAACCATTCATGGTCGGCTAAAAATGTACTTATTTTTCATTCGTTTCACCATAAATCATTTCCGGTAAATCCACGCCCACATTAGTATAAACACACCCATATATGTTTATACTAAATACGTGATTTACACTCAATCATCGCATAACCAGAAAGTACCACATACTTTCCTTTCCGTAAATCTACGCCTACTTTAATGTAAACACACCCATGTATGTTTATATCAAATGCGTAATTTACGTATCAATCATTGCATAATCAGAAAACTCACATTTTCGATTCCAAATGCTCAATTAAAGACTTATCCTTACCTCGATGAGTGTTGGGTTTGGTTCTTGGCAACTTCTCGAGTTCCACCGACACCGCCTCCAACCTTAGGATCTCTCTCTTTATCCCACCACATAACACAATGTTAGTCATTTATTCCAAATATCACATAAACAACTTATATTGCATCATTTAATCATACAAAATATTCATCATCAATATTCAACCATCTAAAACATGCATAACATCTCATATTTCAATATTTGGGGGTAAACTCATCTTCTACCTCTAACATTTTACTCATTCTCTCCTTTTACCACATTTTGACTTTTGGGGTTTTTGGGGTTTTCATGAATCAACCCACAACCCTTTCCATTCTTGAGATACTATCTCTAAACCAAGAGTTTACAAGATAAAAACAACATAAAACGAACCATAACTCTAACGGATGTGTTTCCATGGTTTCCATTATTTTGAAAATGAATCCAATATACCCAAAACAAGTTAGAGAGGAAGAAGAGGAGTTAGTAACAAGAGGTTTACCTCTTCTCAAGCTCCAAGATGAGTCATAAGGCTCCTTGCTCTTGAAAAGCTCTCCTCTCTCTCTTCTCTTCGAAGTTCTAACCCTAAAATGTGTTTTGGGTTTCTATTTTATAGACACTGCGATAAGTGTAATCGATTACAAGTATAGTGTAATCGATTACACTGTGTAAATTATAGAGGCATCGTCGCGATGTAATCGATTACCAACATGGTGTAATCGATTACCATAAGTGTGTAATCGATTACATTGTGTCAGATGTACATATCTGATGCTTTTAATATGATGTAATCGATTACCAGGAGTGTGTAATCGATTACCAGGAGTGTGTAATCGATTACACTGTGTCAGATGCACGGGTCTGATTAGTTTATCAGCATGTAATCGATTACCAGCAGTGTGTAATCGATTACACTGTGTCAACAGCCCAAAATTGCCAGTAGGCGAGACAACTCTCGCTCAGGCGAGAATTCTCCAGTATAGTCCAGGATTTCACCCTCTCAGGTGATCCTTTCTCGCTCAGGCGAGAATCTCTTGATCAAGCGAGGCTTCCAGGACTGATACTATAATTTTAAAGATTAAAATTTGGGGTGTTACAGAACGTGATATGAGGGAGGATTACCCTCATTTGTTCGAAACGAGGTATGTTTAATTTTCGGGGACGAAAATTCTTATAAGAGGGGGAGGATTGTAACACCCTTGATTTTATTCTTTAAAAATTATAGTATCAGTCCTAGGATTCTCGCTTGAGCGAGGGATTCTCGCCTGGGCTAGAAAGGCTCACCTGGGAGGGTGAAATCCTAGGCTATACTGGAGGATGCTCGCCTGAGCGAGAGTTGTCTCGCTTGAGCGATGGTGTTCTCGCCTGAGCGAGAGTTGGCTCGCCTAGACGAGAAAAGAGACATTTTGGACCTGTCGAGGCTGTAAGATCCTCGCCTGAGCGAGAGGATCCTCGCTTGAGTGAGAGATGCCTCGCCTGGGCGAGAATTCCCTCGCTTGGGCGAGAGGGTCAGATCTGAGTTTTTTAAAATAGGCGGGATTGTCTCGCTTGAGCGAGAATGGGCTCGCTTAAGAGAGAACCCGACGAGTGCATTAAATGAGAGAAATCCCAGATACATTTTTAGGTTAAGATTTGAAGAGAGGTGAGAGAAGAGAGCATTTCCAAGGTCTAGGAGCTTTGATTCTCGTCCAAGAACTTGAGAAGAGGTAAAACTCTTGATTCTAACTCTCTTCTTCTCTTTGAAACCCATTTTTGGTATGTTGGATCTCTTCTCAAAATATGAGAAACCACGGAAACTCACCCTTTTGATATATGGTTCATTTTATGTGTTTTTCTCTTGTAAAATCTTGGTTTAGAGTTAGTATTTCGAGAATGGAAACGGTTTGTGGGTTGATTCAAGAAAACCCCTAAAACCCTAAAGAGACAATGTGGTTAGAGTGGAAAATGGGTCAAATGCTAGAGGTAGAAGATGAGTTTACTTTCTAATGTTGAAATATGAGATGAATATGTATGTTTTAGATGGTTGTAAACTTATAATGAAAGTAGTTTAGAAACATTGAAAACATAATGTTTATCTTGTATGGTTAAATAATACAATATAAGTTGTTTATGTAATATTTGGAATAAATGACTAACATTGTGTTATATGGTGGGAATGAGGAAAGATCTAAAGTTGGCGGCGGTGTCGGTGGAACTTGCGAAGTTGCCAAGAACCAAACCCAACGCTCACCAAGGTAAGGATAAGTCTTTAACTTATGCATTGTGTTAGAAAATGCGTGGATTTTCTGGTTGATGAATAATGAATTGAGTTGTGAACCACTTATTTATCATAAACATATATGGGTATGTTTGTAATAATGATGGTGTGAGTTTACTATTTATAAATTGATGGAGTGTCAATGAAAAGAAAACTCGTTTTTAGCCGACCATGATTGGTTAGCGACTTTGGCTCAAGTAATGTAGCAAACTTTGGCTCAAGTCATGTAGCAAGCTTTGGCTCAAGCGATGTAGCAAACTTTGGCTCAAGTAATGTAGCAAACTTTGGCTCAAGCGATGTAGCAAGCTTTGGCTCAAGCGATGTAGCAAGCTTTGGCTCAAGCGATGTAGCAAGCTTTGCCTCAAGCGATGTAGCAAGATTTGGCTCAAACGATGTAGCAAGCTTTGGCTCAAGCGATGTAGCAAACTTTGGCTCAAGTTATGTAGCACGTTTTCAAAGAAAAAGGGAAATCCGTTTTAGCTAACCTTAAGTGGTGTAGCGGCTTTGGCTCAAGCGATGTAGCAAACTTTGGCTCAAGTGATGTAGCATGATTTTCAAAAGTATAAACGATGAAAATGGTTTTAAGTACATTTGATTTTAAATTGTCTACTTAACTTTATTAAAATGTGGATTAACGGATATTGACTTTTATTGAGTTAACGACTTATTCCTTTGTGTTTTCTGTGTATGGTCAATGTTAATCCCATTGCAGATAGGTAGAAGATGTGAAGGTGGTTTGGTTAGGAGTTTAGAGGCTTTTTCTTTTTGAAGTCTTCTTGCCTATTCTTTTTGTAAATCTATTGATTGTATTTTGAAACTGAATATTTGTAACTATGAGTATGATTTTTGTACATGATGGTAACTCTGGATATTTGTAGCTATGAGTGTTTTGGAAACCTATAGCTAGTTGTATGCAGTAGTTATTGAGCTACATTAATATGAATTATGTTTTTCTGTCAAACCATTGTGTATGTCATCATTGGGTTATGGTGAGAGTGTATAAGAGGAGATTGTGCTTTTAGAATAAAGATATGTAATTAGAAAATGTGATTTATAGGAAAAATGCATGAAACTTGATTAAAATAAGGAAAAAATTTCAAGGGTACAATTTGGGTCCTTACATCCTACAGGAGCCTATAAGTTGTATGATCCAATCAATGACAAGGTGCAATTTAGTAGAGATGTTGTCATACTTGAGCATGAGAGCTGGAACTGGAAGCAAAAGACAACCAGCTTAAGAAGAGTTATTCCTGATCTTGATAATGAATGCTCAACTTCAAAATCAAGAAGTTCAGAAGCAAGAAGTCCAAAAGTAGGAAATGAAAGGCTCAATGATGCACCTGCTACTCAAAGATCACAAAGAAATAGAACCATTCCTTTTGAGATGCATCATGATAACCAAATCAATGATAAAGGAGATTAGGTGCACTTAGCACTTATGGCAGAAGCATCACAAGTCATAGAAGCAGAAGCACTAAGCCAAGCAGTGTGGAAAGATGCAATGATTGAAGAACTCAAGTCCATTGAAAAGAATAGAACTTGGGACTTAGTTGATCTTCCTAAGGATAAGCATCAAATTGGGGTCAAATGGGTGTTCAAACAAAAACTGTAAGGACTGAAATTCTACCCTTGAAAATTTTTCATTTATTTTAATCCTCCCTTACATACATTCATCATCTTACTTAAAACCCTCATGAATCATTTCTTGAAACTACTCTTTTAACCTATTATATTATCATACAATTCATATTGCAGAAAAACATAATTCATTCAATTAGTAATTACCACATACAACCAGTTATGGGTTTCCAAGAGTCATAATGTCCATAACTACATATCTCCAGTATTGTCCTAATCAAAATTACATTCATCTCAAAATATTATCTAACCAACTACAATGTCAAAGTAACGCTAAAGGCATTTAAGTTAATAAACACATAAGATTCCTAGTGAGCTTCCTCCTCAAATCCCTCATTTACCTACAATGGGATTATCATAAACAACACACAAAAACAAGGAAGTAAGTCATTAGTACAAAACTAATATTACATGATAATCCACATTTTAAATACGATTAAGCATTAATATAATGTATAACCACAAATACGTAAAATGTAAACATTCATATCTTCTATCTTTCATTTCCACGTTAGTCATATTCATTCTATAGTATATATATTCTATAGCATGCATATTACGTTCATTCTAAACATCTTCATTTTCATTATTCATATCCACCCTATAGTACATATATCCCATAATATATATCCTATAGCATGCATATTACTTTCATTCTAACATCCTTACTTCTCATCATTCATATTCACCCTATAGTATATATATCTCATAATATATATCCTATAGCATGTATATTACTTTCATTCTAACATCCTAATTTCTCATCATTCATATTCACCCTATTGTATATATATCTCATAATATATATCTTATAGCATGCATATTACTTTTATTCTTAACATCCTCATTTTCATCATTCTTATTCACCCTTAATCGTATTCATCGAGTTCATTCCCCATACCACAATGGGCAGGTCGAGTTTATTCCCCATACCACATCGGGCAGGTCGAGTTTATTCCCCATACCACATCGGGCAGGTCGAGTTTATTTCCCATACCACATCGGGCAGGTCGAGTTTATTCCCCATACCATATCGGGCAGGTCGAGTTTATTCCCCATACCACATCAGGCAGGTCGAGTTTATTCCCCATACCACATCGGGCAGGTCGAGTTTATTCTTCATTCCACAAAACACACAACCACTCCGGTTAGGACAACAACAATAGACCACTACCATTTCGGGTAGGGTAACAACAATAAACTACTACTACCTCGGGTAGAGTAACAATAATAATCCACTACCCCTTCGGGTAGGGTAACAGTAATAATCCACTACCCCTTCGGGTAGGGTAACAACAGTATTCTTACAAATACATTACCTCTTTCACATACCTCATTCACATCAGCTAGTATGAGTTAGAGACACTTATCCCTTATCTTGGTGAGCGTTGGGGGTCGGTTCCGAGTAACTTTAAAAGTCTCATCAGCAATTTCCTCTAACCTTAGGATCTTTCCTCATTCCCACCAATAACAACAATGTCAGTCATTTATTCAAAATAACACATCAACAACTCGTATTTCATCATCAAACATACAAGGGATTCACATATTTTCATGATTTCCAAAACTACTTCAATACAAGTTTCCAAACATCTAAACATACATGTTCATCTCATATATCAACATCAAAGCACAAACTCATCATCTACATTTAACATTTCATTCATTTCCCTTTTTACTCATATTCTCATTTTGGGGGTTTTTGGGGTTTTCATGAATAACTCACAAAACCTTTTCATTCATCAAATACCAACTCTAAATCAAGAGTTTACAAGAGAAAAACAACATAAAACGAACCATAACTCTAAAGAATGAGTTTCCATGGTTTCTCATACTTTGAGAAGAGATCCAACATACCCAAAACAAGTTAGAGAGGAAGAAGAAGAGTTAGAAGCAAGAGGTTTACCTCTTCTCAAGCTCTAAGATGATTCCTAAGGCTCTTTGCTCTTGAAAAGCTCTCATCTCTCTCTTCTCTTCAAAGTTATAACCCTAAAATGTGTTTGGGGTTTCTATTTTAAAGTGAAATCGTCGGGTTCTCGCTCAAGTGAGCCCATTCTCGCTCAGGCGAGAAAATCCGGCCTTTTTAAAATTTCAGATCTTATGCTCTCGCTCAAGCGAGGCAATTCTCGCTCAAGCGAGGTTCCTCTCGCTCAGACGAGAATCTCACAGCCTCGACAGGTCCTTCAGTATAGCCCAGGATTTCACTCTCCCAAGTGAGCCTCTCTCGCCCAGGCGACAATTATCTCGCTCAAGCGAGACTCCCAAGACTGATACTATAATTTAATGACTTTAAAATCTAGGGTGTCACAAAAACTACACCCAGATGGCTCAATCTCAAGGCACAAAGCAAGGTTAGTAGCCAAGGGATTCCTACAAAGAGAAGGTATAGACTACACTGAAGTGTTTGCTCTTGTGGCTCGAATTGAGACTATAAGGCTTGTGGTTGGGATAGCTTGTGCAAGAGGATGGTCTATGTTTCAACTTGATGTGAAATCTGCATTTCTACATGGGTCTCTAGAAGAAGAAGTTTATGTTGAGCAGCCCACTGGTTTCATTGTAGAAGGCAAAGAGCATCAAGTGTACAAACTAAACAAAGCCTTGTATGTATTGAAGCAAGCTCCAAGAGCTTGGAACAAAAGGATTGACTCCTTTATATTTGAGCTTCAAATCAGAAAATGCTTAGTGGAACATGGTGTGTATGTCAAAGACAATGGAAGTGAGGATGTAGTTCTTATATGCTTGTATGTGGATGATCTACTCATCACTGGTTCCAATCCTAAGCAAATTGAGCAGTTCAAGAGGCTAATGGAAGCAGAATTTGAGATGACAGACCTAGGAAAGCTAAGCTACTTCCTTGGGATGGAATTTACCTACACTCCAACTGGTTTATTGATGCATCAGAAGAAGTATGCTAAGGACTTGCTGCAAAGGTTCAAGATGAACACATGTAATTCAGTGGCTACTCCGTTAGAAACCAATGTCAAGCTAACCATGGATGAAGAAGGTGACGCTGCAGATTCAACTTTGTATAAGCAGATGGTTGGTTCCCTCAGATTTTTGTGCAATAACAAGCCTGATTTATGCTTCAATGTGAGATTGGTTCGTAGATTCATGTGCAAGCCTAAGAAGACTCACATGTTAGCTACTAAAAGGATGCTAAGGTTCCTACAAGGGACAACTGATCATGGAATTCTGTTTCCTTATGGCAAGAAGCAAACAAAAGCAAAATTGGAATTGGTTGGGTATGCAAACTCTGATTATGGTGGAGATTTAGTGGAGAGGAAGAGCACCTCTGGATACTTGTTCTTGTTGAACAATGCACCAATCTCATGGTGTTCCAAGAAGCAACAAGTGATTGCACTCTCAAGCTGTGAAGCAGAGTACATAGCAGGCTGCTATGCTGCTTGCCAAGCTGTTTGGCTCAAGGAGCTGTTGAAGGAGATGGGTATGCAGTTGCAGACACCATTGCAGCTAAGGATAGACAACATTTCTGCCATAAGCTTGGCCAAAAATCCAGTAAGCCATGGTAGGAGCAAGCATATTGAAGTTAGGTTCCATTATCTAAAGAATCTAGTTAATGGAGAAAAGCTAAAGCTAGTGTATTGCAAGACTGAAGTTCAACTTGCAGATGGACTTACAAAACCTCTCAAGGTTGGAAGGTTTGAAGAGTTGAAGAAGAAGATGGGAGTTATTTCTCTCTCTAAGCTTGGCTTAAGGGAGAGTGTTAAAAGTATTAAGCCAAGCTAGACATTGTTATGTGTAAAAAGTTAGATTTTGAAAATTAGTTTTGTTAGTTGATGTACTTGCTATATAAGGCAACCTTCACTCTTTGATTCAATAAGAAAATTAAACTGCATTATTCATTCAATTCCTTCTTCTCTTTCTCTGTTTTCTAACAAAATGAACCCCAAAAGGTGGACCAAGTGTTGCTTTTGAAAGTGCACCTATAGCTGATAGGACATATATAACTCTGTGTTCTTGCTGAGAAAAGGACACAACCTTAATAGATATGTCCTAAGAGATTCGATCATCTCCTCTTACAAGATATAAAGCATGATTATGGAATGTACAAATAATTGCCCCCTTGATGCCTTAACTACAAAGTTTGATAAATAAACAATAAGTACTCTCTAAAATTACACAAACTGGAATAAAGTTTTCAATGCATTCCAAATAAAAAAACACATAAATGTAAATAAATATTTTTCCATAAAGTGATTGATAGGAGTAGCAATGATCATTTTCTACACGTTAGGTTTACTCTCCAATTGGAAATTGAGCAACCCCTTAAACACAATTAATATACATTTGATTTTACCATATTGTTACCCCTTAAACACAATTAATATACATTTTATTTTACCATATTGTTAATCAATGTGGCAGAGGAAAGAAATTTGCACTAATGCATAATTATGGACCCCCGTGGATATAGAATACGCATGTACCAAAAATATACACTTGTTGGGAGGGATAATCACATACTCCAAAAAGAATTAGTTATTTACTTACTCATGTGGTGAGGAGATGTCATTAGTTATACCAAAAAATACTCATATACCAAATAAAGCAAATATAAAATTCCCCTTCTTGTCAAGCATACCTCACCAGAATTCAGAAGAATGACTTGGGCTATACATTTTGTGTCAAAAGTATGAACTGCATAAGTACCAAAAACATATATTAACAGGAGTATTTCAAAATTTACCATAAGCTATATTATCTATAAAAGCAATCATATGGTCATCATAGGTCGCATATACTATGAAATATCTAGCAGTGTTAGCAATTTTAACCAAAACCCAACTAGCATGGTGATATTTTGATTTTAACATCTTCCTTTAGTTTGAAAATATCCTAACAACAATACTTTTTTCTGATCAAATATCATCTTGTTTCTAGCATGCCATACATGATACACACCAGTAGTAACATAAGCAAACATGCCATTTCTTTTCAACTTTTGATGTTTCCAAATATGCAGGATTTTCCTGTTCAATTATCATCTACCTATGTATATCTGAGATGTGATTTTGCATTTAAAAAATAAGTAATCGTGAGTCCAATCTCATCCTCATATAAAACACAATCATAGTTTGGAAACTGAATATTAAACTTGTGTAATCTTTTCTTAGTTAGAATTCTCTCTTTTACCATGAATCAGGCGTTGAAAGAATGTTTTGGGTAAAATGAATCTCCTTTCTATTCATGGCTATATCATCAAATTTAAAAATTTATTCATTTCACCTTACTTTGAAAAAAAACACATAAAATGATATATTCTTTTATGTATAATAAAAAAAGGATGAGAGATTTCTCATGTATTCAAGTTTCAAACAAAATTGAGGTAGCAAGATAATTAATTTCACCACAGAACAAAAAGTATTACTAATGATAGAAAATAAATTTCATTGGAATAAAGTTAAGGGAACAACATTTAACCGAATATATACGATTGCATGAAAAAACCACAATAGGATTTAAGAAAATGAATTACCTAACACCATATAATGAAGATTGCAAGAAGAATGTGCACCTCAACAAAACCTACTTGTGGAGTTTTAAATAACAACACTATCTATATATAAAAGATGGTCTTCCTTTATAACATGGTTCATCACAAAAACCGATGAGAGGCCCAAACGTTTAAGTAGTGGTTATTTTAGATGCTCCAACATATTTGATACTGAAAAAATCCAAATTTTACGATTTTGTTGAATTTCTTTTTGGTCATGCCCCAACACTAAATTCAGCAAAAAATGTTAAAAAAGATTTTCAGGTCACAAGACTCTCAACTACTGATAGGTATATATAACTTTACCATATAAGTAGAGAGACTATTTCCTAAATAACATTTAGTGGACCCAAGAAACAAAAGAGAATAAGACATAGTCATCTTTCTCTCATAGAACTTTATACCACCGCTTTCTAAACCAAACTCCAATTCAACCCATAAAATTCCATCTCTTACCATTTGTTTGGTAGTGAAAAGTTAGGAAAGAGAGAAGTTGGAGAGAGAAATTGAGTTTCTCTCCTTTAGTTGAGAGGAGAGAAAGGAGGGAGAGAGTAAAAAAGTGTGTGGGTCCCATAATTTTTTTCTCTTCACTTGTGAGAAGAAAATGAGAGGAGAATAGAGTAACATAATAAAACACACATTTTTCTTCTTACTTTCTCTTATACCAAACAATACAAAACTCATCTCTTTTGCTCACAACTTTCTTTCTTCACACTATTTTTCTCACATTTTTCTCTCTACCCATTTTCTTCCGTTAAACGAAACAGATAATGTTTTAATCCCCCACCACTATTGCAAATGCCAATATAATTTCAGTCAAAACCTAAGAAAATGACGATGTAGGTTCGTTAATGCTATTAAGATAATGAGTTATGTGAAGATCAATCAAACAAATTCAAATATGTATATCTAGAAGCCTATAAAAATGGTATCTAATTATATTGTTATTTTTTTTTGGTATTGTCCTCTCACTTTCTCTTCAAAACCTAGAATAGAACAACAATATGCAGACATCAATGAAATTGTAAAAAAAGGAGAAAAGAGAGGGAGAATATATATGTAATTAGTGATACTATCTTGTTTACTTTCTTTAATACCTACCAAACTCACTATACAAAACATGCATTTCCTATTTTTTTTGTTCCACAATGTTCATGTGAAAATGTGTTGGTATTTTGAATTAATGTTGTAATGTATTGTACTAGTAATTAATTTAAACTCTCCTATCTTTGTATAATGTTCATGATTAAAACATGTGTAAATGGTTTTTGGCTTGTAATTCTCATCTTCTTCTTCTTCCATCTCTTTCCCCAAAAGTGCTTGATGATAGTGGATCCAATCAAAGGTTACGTTGATTTTCAGATGTCATAACATAATCTGGTGGGAAAAAGAAGAACAAAACTCATTTTAATCAATTTCATGTTCATTAGAAAATTCCAACCCTTAGTTGTAGTGGTCATTTCATCATCACCTTCTTATTATTACTATTATTCTCTTCAACTTCCTTTTCCTACTCATTCTTATCCTCATCCTTTGGAAAATACATTTATATCTTTTCAAATGCCTTAACCAAATTGATCACTATCGCAAGAACACCCTCTTTTGAATCTTTCATCAACCTATCCTTTTCTTAGTGTTGTTAATTGTCTCAATCTTTTCATCTTCAACCATAACTCTTGAAAAACTCTTCCTGAGATTTCCCCAGACTACAAATATCACATCCACACACTACAACACAACACTAGGATTTTGTAGAGCAATAATTATGTCCTTTATTGCTTCCGCTTATGCTTCTACCCTTACATTTCATCCATTAGTCCAATTTCCTTCTTGATCAAATCTTCTTTCTTTTTCATCATCATAAAATTCCCAATTCCTCCACACAGATCGATAATTCTCATATTCTTCTCTCAAATGTTGCCACTAGGCATGCTCGTTTTAACAACATGGAATAAAAAAGTGATATCTATGATATGGCATTATTGTTATGCCAAGCTCAATAGATCCATTATGAAAGTGCAACCATGATTATGAGATTGAAAGCAAAAATTGAAGCTCTTGAAGAACAGATAAATTCTATGGGCGAAAAAAATATCAAAATAAGGACAAAAGGCGAGGTTTACTATTAATGATTTTCGTTGGGTGAAAGTGGAAGTGCAAACGTTTGAAGAGCTCAATTGGTTGAATGCTACATATGTTCTCGTGCTTAAGAAACTTTGAGTAAGGGTGACAAATAGATGAATTTGGATGGATTTGGATTTGGATTTAGATTTGGATGAAAATGGATGGACAATCCATATAAATCCATTTAAACCATATTTTAATGTTCAAGAACTTGAGAATAGGTAAAACTCTCTATTCTAACTCTCTTCTTCTCTTAAAAACCCATTTTTGGTATTATGGATCTCTTCTCAAAATGGGAGAAACCATGGAAACTCACCCTTTTGAGTTATAGTTCGTTTTATGTTACTTTTATCTTGTAAACTCTTGGTATAGATTTAGTATTTCAAGAAAGGAGAGGGTTTCTGGGTTGATTCATGAAAACCCCAAAACCCTAGTGAGAATGTGATTAAAGAAGAAAATGGGTAAAGTGCTGGAGGTAGAAGGTGAATAAGTTTTATAATGTTGAAATGTGAGATGAATATGTATGTTTTAGATGTTGTAAACTTATGATGAAAGTAGTTTAGAAACATTGAAAACGTGTTAAATATTTTATATGGTTAAATAATGCAATATAAGTTGTTTATATGATATTTGGAATAAATGACTAACATTGTGTTATATGGTGGGATGAGGAAAGATCTTAAAGTTGGAGGCGGTATCGGTGGAACCTACGAAGTCGCCAAAAACCAAACCCAACACTCACCGAGGTAAGGATGAGTCTTTAACTTATGTACGGTGTTAGAAAATGCGTGGATTTTCTGATGTGGATAATGAAATGAAATGTGAATCACTTAGTCATTATGAGCATATATGGGTATGTTGATAATGATGAGGAGTGGATTTACGGTTTATGTATTGGTGGAGTGCCAATGGAAATAAAACTCAGAATAAAACAATAAATTGTAAGTCACTTTGTAGTTACAAGCATATACGATATGTTTTAATGGTGTCGGGTGCATTTATTATCTATGTATTGGTGGAGTGCCAATGGAAATAAAACTCGGAATAAAACAATAAATTGTAAGTCACTTTGTAGTTACAAGCATATACGATATGTTTGTAATGATGTCGGGTGCATTTATTGTCTATGTATTGGTGGAGTGCCAATGGAAATAAAACTCGGAATAAAACAATAAATTGTAAGTCACTTTGTAGTTACAAGCATATACGATATGTTTGTAATGATGTCGGTGCATTTATTGTCTATGTATTGGTGGAGTGTCAATGGAAATAAAACTCGGAATAAAACAATAAATTGTAAGTCACTTTGTAGTTACAAGCATATACGATATGTTGTAATGATGTCGGGTGCATTTATTGTCTATGTATTGGTGGAGTGTGTAACGACCCAAAATTCTACCCTGGAAATTTTCTCTTATTTTAGCTCATGCAAACATTCATTTTATTCATGTTTCCTAATTATTAACTGATTATGCGTTACATTGTTTACCTTGATTATTTCCGGGCTATTTATCATGCAATATCCATACATACATTCCTAATACAGAAAAACATAATTCATATTAGTATAACCTAGTAACCACCGCAACCAATTAGCTATGAGTTTCTAAAACACCCAAAGCTACATATATCCCGAGTTACTAGTCTCCATGATCGCTATCATGTACAAAAATAGTATTCGTAATACAATTAGTTACTTCAAGTACAACCAAATGAAGTTACAAAAGAATGGATAAAGTGACATCAAAATAAGGGTCTCTAATCTCCTAGTCAAAAATCATCTTTTCTCCGTCCACCTACCTGCAATGGGATTAACATTGACCATACACAAACAACACAAAGGAATAAGTCATTAACTCAATAAAACATCAATGTAAGTTAATCCACATTTAATAGGGTTAAACAACGATCTAAATTAAATTCACTTACAACCATTTTCGTCATCGGTACTTTTGAAAAACCATGCTACATAACTCGAGCTAGAGTCGCTAATTCATTCTGGTCGGCTAAAACGAGTTTTATTTCCATTGGCACTCCACCAATACATAAACAGTAAATCCATTCCTCATCACTACAAACATACCCATATATATTTGTAGCGACTATGTGATTTACAATTCATTACTTTGTTCCGAGTTTTATTTCTATTGGCACTCCACCAATACATAGACAATAAATGCAGCCGACATCATTACAACATATCGTATATGCTTGTAACTACAAAGTGACTTACAATTTATTGTTTTATTTCGAGTTTTATTTCCATTGGCACTCTACCAATACATAAACAATAAATGCACCAGACATCATTACAACATATCGTATATGCTTGTAACTACAAAGTGACTTACAGTTTATTGTTTTATCCGAGTTTTATTTCCATTGGCACTCCACCAATACATAGACAATAAATGCACCCGACATCATTACAACATATCGTATATGCTTGTAACTACAAAGTGACTTACATTTTATTGTTTTATCCGAGTTTTATTTCCATTGGCACTCCACCAATATTTTAAACGGTAAATACCCCCGACATCATTACAAACACATCCACGTATGCTTGTAACTACAAAGGGATTTACTATTCATTATTTTATTTCGAGTTTTATTTCCATTGGCACTCCACCAATACATAAACCGTAAATCCACTCCTCATCATTATCAACATACCCATATATGCTCATAATGACTAAGTGATTCACATTTCATTTCATTACCCACATCAGAAAGTCCACGCATTTTCTAACACCGTACATAAGTTAAAGACTTATCCTTACCTCGGTGAGTGTTGGGTTTGGTTTTTGGCGACTTCGTAAGTTCCACCAGCACCGCCTCCAATTTTAGGATCTTTCCTCATTCCCACCACATAACACAATGTTAGTCATTCATTTCAAATAA